GAGCAGCTCCACCGCGTATAGAGTCATACACGTAAATGCACCTATCCTTGAAGGACATCACAGCCATTATCCAATGCCATTGTTCTGCAACATTAATTGGCATTAAGATATGCTCGACAGTGTGCCATGGAACATTGGCATCCAAGACAAACCCCTGAATATACTTTGCAATGACATGTTTCGGAGTGCACACATCACTGTCTCCATCTGTATCAATAAACGCCTGCCACAACTCATTAATTTTCTCGTCGAAGTACCAATCTGTGGTGGTGAATGTTACAGGTAGGTCTTTGTCATACTTCACCTTCTTTCTCAGATAATAGAACAAAACATCAATGTGCTGAAACAAAACATAACAAATAACTAATCACTAAACGCACTCGAAAGCTTTAAGCAGCTACAGTTTTTCAAACCAAAATCACAGAAAACAAAGGAAAATGAATGCTCACTGCTAACTTAACAGGACTGAGTGTTCATGTGTACACTGGCTAAAATTTAAAAAAAAATACTGCAAAAGTAAATTCTTACATACCGAGTCATCCAAGGGCTGACCATTATATGCCAAAGTGTAAAACCATTTTTTGTCTTCAACATGAAATACACCAAGATCATAAGCAGGATTGAGTTCACTAACATGCTTCGGGTAAATTTCATTCCTGGTAACATATATACACAAAAGAGTACAGTGATTTGATATAAAATAATACTATAAGTGACAATATATTAAAATATAAAACTGAAAAAAAACTCAGAAGTTGGAAACATACTTCTTTCTGGACTTCCCTTCTTTGACCCACGCAGCAAATACATTCAACAAAGAGATGTTAACGCCAGTTCTGATTTTGCTTTGAAAAGGATGCTTAATAGCATAAATTTGTTTTTTTCCTTTCGATGCAACAACACCAGTACTGGAACCTGAATCAAACACAGTAATGAACGGAGACTGCCCGGCCTTTGCAGGACATCTCTTTTTTTTTTTCATTTGCGGCGATACTTCAGGAAGTAATTCACGATTGTACAGAACCATCTCCCCTGCCGCCTCATCAACACTTGCAGTCGCACAAACAGCACCAGTCCGAAATTCAGGAACCTTTTGTTTCTCAGATTCTTCCTCCGTCTCCCCTGCCGCCACATCTGCAATCTCACCAATAACGCCAGCATGTGCTACATCTGGTGTGAAATTTACTTTAGCAACAAACATGTCAACTTTCACACCAGATGGTCCTTCCATTGCATTGACACCTAACTGATCTGCTACACTAGTATCTCTTTGAGAATGTGGAACATCTTTGCCTTCACTTCCACCGACCTATTTTTTTTAAAAAGAATCGAATTATCAAAAACAACAAAGAAAAGAAAAGGGGAAAGTGCAGAATGCACAATTAAACACACCTGACAACCATCCATTTCAACATCTTCATTGCCACCAAACTCCATATTGCTCACAAAATCATTATTGTCTTGACGACCACTGGTGTCTTCCTCTGGATGTGCACCATATTTGACTTCGCTTGCACCAAGCTATTTTTAAAAAACAGGATATAGTAAGTTAACTAAAAAATAAAAAGAAATGCACAATGGAAAAAAAACACATACCTTGGAATTTATCAACTCAAAGAGCTCCTTGAATTTATCAGAAACATAATCCATGAAGGAATTTAACTGCTTATGGAGCTACAAGATGAAACAAATAAGAAAGATAATAGACTTTGAATATACAATTTGAACAATACTTTCAAAAAATATATATAAAAAAGACCAATACATACTTGCTTCACATCAACTTTCAACTTCTACAACTCACGGTCATAATCAACAGGTTGGACACCTGGCGCCTTTTTGGCGCCTTTTTTGGTGGGACAGGCTCCTAAATGTGTTTCGGGGGTGGCGTGACAAAATCATCGCTATCATCAATAGGAAATTTTCCCCTGTTACGTGATGTCAAATATTTCTGATACTCATCGGTAACTTCAACAGGCAAAGTAAAACTCCTTAGCTCTTCAATTGTTGGAGAGATATTTTTAAACTACTAAGGTAACCAAAAGTGATTCAGTCCTAGATGTATCAAAGATGTATTAAAACTGTATGTGTGATGTATCATAATGAATTATAGTGTATTATAAATGTATATCCTATCAAGACATAAAAGATGATACCTTATTCCCTTTGCTGTTGAAGAAACCAGTAGAGAAGTCCTCACGCGTTAGCCTGTCTGTCATTTCCCAATTCAATATGCGTGCTGTATGATCTCCAACGCGAACAACAAACTTTTGATCAACTGCAGTGCAACATTCATAGAACCACACCTGTAGTGCAAGAGAAAATCCACCAATCCTATAAAACTCAAACTTTCCCCTCAACCTGTCCTTCACCGACTTCATTAAAGCTCGAAATGCAATCTTACCCCATGGAAACGACACATACTCACCACTCTCAACAAGATGGAAATCACCTTTACTTATAAATGTCTTCTGAGCCTGAGTGGATACTCTCTCTCTCTCTCTCTCTCTCTCTCTCTCTCTCTCTCTCTCTCTCTCTCTCTCTCTTTCTGCGATTTTTTCCAAAATTCAACCAAAATTGCTGAAATTGACGACAAAACAAGATACATTTCGGTTATTTTCGTCTGATTCCAGGTAATTTGGAGTAGAAAACCTCTTATTTGTATATTTTCTGATTGCATGTGTTTTTGTAGAATGGATGTTGCTTTTCTTTAGGCTTTTGCGACTGATTTTGTAGGTTTTGGTCAAGTTTTTGTATTAATTTCTTCACAAATTTCTGTAACCTTATGTTCGTATATTTTTTTTTAAAATTTTATCATTGAACCTAGTTTCAATTTTGAAACAGAGCAATATGAGAAGACAAACTCGTTCGATGAGTTCATCACCTTATTCAAAGTCGGTTTCAATTGAGAAATCGAGCAACATGAGAAGAGAAACTAGGTCGATGAGTTTATCTCCTCATTCAACCCCGGTTTTAGTTGACAAAACAATTGATGAACAAAATATGCGAAGACAAAATCGTCCCGACAGTGTTAATGTGTTAGAATCTCGAAAGGATATTGTTGGAAAATCTTAGAAAAAGAAGAGCAAGAGGGTTATAATGGATGGTGATCAAGGTAAGAGAAAACGTGTCGTGTAGGACGAAGTGAATTTGGGTGTCAAACCAAAAGAAAACAAGGTTCAGAAGGCAAAAAAAGTTAAAATTCCTGTCAAAGTTTGTAAGGTATATACAATTTCAGTTATACTTTTTTCTATTGTTGACTCTTCTTTTAAAATCTGGATTTAGTTTGTATTTGTTTGTTTTTAATTCGTGTCATGTATTTGTAGCCTTGGAAGCTCTATATTCTAGTTGGTGAGCCATTTCCTATTACTCATTGGTCATCATACACTAATGTGGACATTGTATCGGTTTTACAGTCAAAGTTGACTGATGTCCAGCTTCGGATGTTTAGGAAAAGCTGTTTTAGCTATTTCCTTGATTTACCTCGAGTTGCTATCCAGGCACAACTTATTCGTTCTTTAATGTTGGTTCAAGATAAGTGTGATCAATTTTATGTGAAATTGAATGACGAATGTGTTTTACATTTTGGTTTTCGAGAATTTGGTATTGTAAGTGGTTTAACCTGTTGTGCTAATGAACATGTTGACGGTAAATTCAGTGGACCCAATAGGTTGGTGGATACTTATTTTTCTGGTTTTGAAGTGGTGTCAAAGAAGTCACTTATTGATTATTTTGAGAAGAAGAAATGGCAGTCTGATGAAGACGCAGTTAAGATTGCAATCATTTATTTCATAAACACATATCCTAGCTGACACAAAAATGCAGCGCTTCTCTCGCCACAATCCACATGACGAACTACTTAAAGAAATGGCAAACTCAAGGAATTGAAGTAGATAAAAGTATTAGTTGGTGTACTTTGTTTCCACGGTGGTGGTCGAATTCGCACTTTAACTAATCTATAAGATATCTTCTCATCAATACATGTATCAATAAGTAATCGTTTCTTTTGAAGTATAACTTTTAATTTCTGCATAAGATTTTAGATTAAATATAGTATAAGATATCTTCTCATCATTACATGTATCAATAAATAATCGTTTTGAAGTTTAATTTCTGCACAAGATTTTGTATTACATATATATATTTTTATAAAATCTTGCTTAATTAATATAATCTCGTTTGATTTAAGGTATTAAATTCGGCATGATAATTTACATTCCTTCTTTGCTTTAGTGAAATTTAAATTCTAAACTCTTATGATCCATTTCAATTTTATTAACCGTTGTGTCTCATTGTACTGTTCCTTAATTTATTTGTTCAAAAAGGATGAGAAGACCCCCTCGAGACATGCATCTTAACTTAGAGTTCTTTTTTCCTGATAAAATTAACTTTTTAAATGATATTTTGAATATTTTCTTCTATTATTATTACAATATCTTATTATAAGTCAAATTTTGTACATAAATAGAACAAGAAAAAGGTACTATTAAACGAGATTAATACTATATATAATGCACTTGAGGTGAACATTGATCAATCATGTTAATTGGTACAACGTACAGGGGTTGTATAATGAGATTCTTCTCTCCTTTTTATATTTAGCATTTAAAACAAGATGTAGGACGAGTTGGCGACTTGTTTTTCTGAGCCAGCAAGGTGACACTAAATAATGCTTGAATGCCTAAAAGTTGAAAAATGATATTTTACAAAAGAACATCATCGACATGCTATTTGTTTCCCCTTTTTTTCTTATTTTTCTATTCATGATTTTACTTGTACTAACATGACTTGGCCTGTGCTAGTACATATACTTCTAAATAATTTTCTTTCACCACACATGTACCAACTTTAATTGTCAAGATCGCTTGCTATGGATTAAACGGGAGAAATATCGATCCAATATATGAAATCTGTTATTATTACAAATTAAATAGCATTCGAAGCATACTGTAAATTACAGTACATAAAAGGCATAACATAGACCATTTTAGGGCAATATATTATATATGGCCTTTACCATTTGCTTTTTGGACAGTTTCCTCAGACGTGCTTTTCTTGTAACAATGGATTCTCTTCTCAATATCTTTGATCGCTTCACACATTGAATTATGAGAGGAGCCTCCTACACTTAGTGCTTTTTCAGCACTCATCTTCAGTTTCTTCACATTTTCCCTCAATTCTTTTCCTTCTCTATATTGCATTACCGTTCTCACTAGTTTCTTTATTTCCTCCCTTTCCACCACTTTCTTCGTTGGCAATACCTTTGGTCGAACAGCCACCCCAAGTCCCTCCGTAAGTATAGTGGCGTTTTGTCTTTGTTCAGCGTATAGCGGCCATGCAATCATTGGCACACCATTCGTTATACTCTCAATGTTCGAATTCCATCCACAGTGCGACAAAAATCCACCGACCGATGGGTGACTCAAAATTCTAACTTGATCAGCCCACATCTGGACCACCAACCCAAAATCTTGTGTTCGTGTTAGAAAACCTTCAGGCAAGTATTGCGGTGTGTCGTCGCCCTCTTTCCCCGTTGTGAAAAATGACTTGTCTGCACCAACCTCGGACGGTGGCCTCACTATCCAAACAAACTTCTGTTGACTTAACTCCAGCCCAAAAGCTAGCTCAGTTAACTGTTTGGATGAAAGGGTTCCACCACTCCCAAAAGACACATACAAAACTGACTCTTGAGTTTGTTCATCCAACCATTTAAGGACAAAATTCCTATTATCACTCCCATCTATGATTTGTTCGTCACGTCTGCATAACGGTCCAATTGGATAAACCGTTGACTTCACGATTGATTTCAATGTTTCATTTTCTCTTAGCGCTTTGAGTGAACCGGGCTCAGCATCTTCCCACGTGTTCATTAATATCCCATCCGATAAACAGAATCCAAGCCCTAGAACTCTCATGTACTCACTATACTGCTGATCATTCCGGTCCAGCATTGGATCCACCACATCTTCCGGTCTAACCGGTTTGCAACCCGGAATTTTCAACGGTTCGTCCTGATCAACATATTGACCCTCAATTTCTTTGTCAAGAACTTGACAGTATACAGTCAAAGCTGTAAACCACGCATTACATGGAACATAAACATAGTTTGGTAACCAAAATTCTTTGGCTATTGGCAAGGCTTCAGTGCAAAAAAGATCAACGATGAGAGCGTCCAGAATATGCTTCTTTGCAAATATTACAGATTTAACAACAGGTAAACTTTCACGCACAAGTACACAAAGTTGGGTGACCATTTTGGTATTAGCATCAATAAGGTTCGAGATATCTACCGCTGGTATTTCAACTATATCAATCAACTTTGATTTATTGGCAGATTTGAGTAGCTCTTTTTCCGCCAGAGAGCTGCCGGAGGTGATGACGAATATGGTGACTGAGACATTATGGTGGGTGGCGAGGTGGCTGCCGAGGACAAGGACGGGGATGATGTGCCCTAAGCCTGGACTTGAGAGAATACCAACATGAAGTTTTTCTGAGCTACCCATAGTTACAAACTAGTACTTGAGATTTGTGAAAGGAAAGAGGGGATACGATGGGACTTACAGGAAATGAAAATGGGAATACAAGAAAATTAAAGTTGATTAACGATTAATATATTTATAGTGATATATATAGAGCCTGTTTATTGGTGACTTCTTAACGTGCGCGCCTCGACGGTCTATATATATGATTTGGTAGTTTGGTACGGTTAGATATATTTGAATGCAGTACGGAATAGATAATTTATCATCAACAACGATAATCGTCTCAAATTTTAAGAACGTAGGTTATGAACAATTCATCAACTTGCAAAAAATAATGTAAGACTACGACTGTAACAATTCATCGACCTGCTAAAAAATGATTGAAGACTAAGATCTTGTAGTGGTTGAGTTTGGGACTAAAATTGTATCACAATGATTTTTGACTCCAGCCTATGTCGATCGTTTAGAGAATCAAACTATCAACGTTTTTCAAAGTACCAACATATAGGCTATTTTATACGTAACTCCCAAATGCAGGAAAAGTTTCCACGTTAAGTTAATGTATCATATTTGGAAAGGTGTTGTAATTAGATTATAAAAGCCTATTAGGGTTTTACAAATAAAAGATGGTTCATATATAGCGCGTAGAATACCATAGAGAGGATTGTGGTAGAATGAATGAGATCAATCACATCCTTAATTAGCTAGAGTTATTGGGTTGTCGTCTTGGAAATTGAGAAATTGAGAACTTCTTGATATGGAGTGCTAAATTAAACTTAAAACTCTTTTAATTAATTAAGTAATCGGCGTAATACTCCCTCCGTCTTAAATTATCTATTGTGTTTCTCTTTTATATGCTCCTTAAGAACCATAATTAGAAGGAGGGTTGGACTATTTTACCCTTATTTGTGTCTTAAGATATAATCTCTTTTCATTGAATATTTATTCTATTTATGTGCTATCTCCATCTTCAAGAACAATTATTCTTAAGAATAAAATGATAAAAATATGATATATTTTGTCTTGAACTTCTAAAATGACAAATAATTTGAGACAACTATTTTTAGTAACCACGACTGTTAATATGAGACAGAGGGAGTACAATTTATCTAATTATTGTCATAATAAAGCTGGGTCTTATCCAGGGGCGTATCTAGAGTATAGTGTATGTGTTAAGTAGGGCTGGACATATATTGGGTAAAACCGATAACCCGAACCGTTAATTGTTTATTGGATTATCGGTATCGGGTTATTGGATTGACGGTTCAATAACGGTTTAGAATTTTTTCACTATTGGGTTATCGGTTCGGGCCTCGGTTTTTCAATTTTGTTAATGGGTTAACCGATAACCCAATAAGAATTAATAAAATTATGACTTTACCCTTATGTATATACATATGCTAGGGCTTCAGTTCATTTTCTCCTATTCTTTCTCAGCCGCACTCTTCCGTTGCTTCATCTTCATTCTTCATATATATTACTAGTCACTCCTAGCGTAAGTCTTTAGTCTTATACAGTACGCTGAGCTTTGACAACATGGCAACATTTTCTTGCCTTCTAGGTGTTTTTCATTTCTGTGTTAGTATTGCCCATGCACAGATCAAGGTTTTGTTCTACGGTTTCTTTTTCAGGTTAGGCATTTGACAAACAACATCTAGTTTATCTTGGACTGTTAGTACTATATGTTTGGACTTGTTAATTTTAAGGTGAAATTATTACAACTTTGTATTAATAATGTATTTGGACAACCGTTGTTGAAGAATTAGTACTATTCCAGTTGTGGCCACCGGACAGAACGCATAAATGGGTAGTATACTATATGTGAATTCTTCTCTTTTTTGCTTAACTCCGGTGAATTGTCTTCTCTTTTTCACTTAACTCTAGATTGAGTTATCTTATCGGGTAAACCGATAACCGAACCAATAATGACCGATAACCGATTAACCGATAACCGATAACCGATATCTTATCGGTTCGGTTATCGGTTTATCAAATTTGTAAACCGATAACCGATATGCTAAATCGATAATATTCATAATCGAACCGAACAGACCGATGCCCCCCCCCCTCCCCCCTAGTGTTAAGTGTTTTTGTCCAGATTTTCTTACCATAATTGGTTTTCCTATCTCATGAAAGAAAGGACAACATATTTACCATAATTGGGTTTTTCTTTTCCTAGAAGGAAAATATAATTCTTCCATAATTGGCTAGTACCTTTTCTTGTAGCAAAATGTTTGGAGTTCTATAAATTGAAGATCCATCCTTCTCATTCAGTAGTATCCACAATGTAGCTATATGGGGTTGAGAGTCGTGTTTAGGGGGAGAACTTTACGGGACAAGTGTTAGTGTGCCACTTGTGTTTGCCTCTTCGTGAGGTTGTTCTCTCGATATTTTGTACTCTCTTTTATATGGTGGATTGCTCATCTCCATTTGTGGGTGTAGGTCAGTTGACCGAACCACGTTAAATGTTTGTGTTTCTTTTGGTATATTTCTCTTTTGTTGTCTGATTTATCGTCGTTCAAGGTTTGCTTACTAGCTTCCGCATGACACCTGACCTGTTATTTCGATCCTAACAGTATGGGTTCCCGGGAACCCAGTAACTTTTGCGTAGACCCTGTATTTTTATTAAAAGATTTACTAAATATCTACAAATATCTAACCGTGAACCCAGTTATTATGGTATATTAATTTGAGATTACGTCGGGAACCCATAAACTTCAAATCCTAGATCCGCCGACCACCTCTGGTCTTATCGATTAGAGTATTCATTTAAAGATTTATAAAATCGCTGCAGAATACGTGCCAAAATATGCTAAGTAATTAACAGTCAAAGTTCTTTAATCTTTTGCTGATTTTAACTATCCAAGTTATCGTCTCAGGATCATCACTGGATTATTTTATCAAGATTGCTTGCAAAGGATGAATGGGGACAAATATCAATCCAAGCAATGAGATTGGTTTATTACGAACGTTATTTGAAGCCCATCATAAAGTTACAGCATAAAGCTTAACGAAAGACCATCGTCTAGCTAGCCATATACCAATCATCTCTTTCCTGCCTATTCAAAAGAAAATGAAAAAAAAAGAAAATTTAATTAGCTTAGCCACATGCTTGCGTACACTTTTGAGACAATTTCCTCAGATATGATTTTCTTGTAACCGTGGTTTCTCTTTTCAATGTCTGAGGAGCCTCCCATACTTGGAGCTTTTTCTACACTCATCTTCAGTTTCTTCACATTTTCTCTCAATTCCTTTATATATATATATATGCTAGTCTCTCGGCACGTCCGATGCACGTGTATATCAAGTCATGTAGTATACATTTTTATAAAATAATATTAATATTATTAAATAAAACTGTGAGCAGATAATTATACATGATGAGTGGACATCCTCTAACCTTCTAAGATGAATAATCAAGGTTTAGTTAGATACATATAATTCTTTTAACTTATTATGATTTTATAAGGTACAAACATGTAATTAAAAGTATGTCACCTAATACTTCCTTATAGATTATTCTTGGTGTTTCTCCCTTTCATGTGTTTCAATTGTTTTGTCAGAACCAGAACTTTTATTGTCAATATTGATAGAGTATAACGTAGTTGACTATGTGAGAAAATATGTTGTGATAGATATAATCCAACATTGCGGATTGTTTGACCCTGCGCACCTTCACGTGTTGGACTTCATCCCATTGTAAGTGATTTCTCTACTTTCATTCTTGATTTGCGTATTGATAAGTACTTGCTGCTCAAGTGCTCTACTGCTCGTTAATGTCTAATTGCTCTGTAAGCCATATCTTAAAGTCCGATATGCAGCTTGCCTTGGGAAATCTTCCTTCGTACCATTAAAAAGATCAAGATTTATGTTTAGGAGTCACTCTACCACACAAGTTTACTATATTCTAAACATTTTTTCTTCCGATGATAATATTATTCTAACTTCTAGTTGATAAAACTATCAGAGATGGGAAGACCTAGTGTAATATTAAGAAATGTGTGCCTAAATGTTGCCCACTTCATATCTATGTGAATTAGATACTTAGATGACATAGAGAAAATTTATTTTATTATGATGATGCTCACCAGGCTCTGAGTTATATGCTTGTGCATCTCATATTGTCACACCTCCTTTTTTACACATCTACCCCGAAGGATAAATGTATAAGGGAGTTTTTCCATTTAAAGTGACATTATTCGAAATGGGATTATTTATTTATTTAGAGTCGCCACTTGGGATAGGATTGGCTTTTGGTGTCCCAAGTCACCGGTTTAACTTGATCCCAAATCGAGGAAAATTTCGACTTCCCAATTGGAGTCTGCGAACCAGAAATTCTGTGTAAGGAATTCTGTTGACCCGAGGGAAGGTGTTAGGCACCCCCGGATCCCGTGGTTCTAGCACGGTCGCTTAAATTATCATAAATGGCTAAAATCTGATTTTTATACATATTTAAACCTATAGTGCAATTTTAAGATTATTTACCGCTTTTTGTTTTTACGAAAGTGAACGTCGTTTAAGAGCGTGTCTTGGGATCACGTCACATGAAATGCACCCGGATCCTAAACACCTCTTATTCAACGTTTTGGGATTCGGATTTGGGTTGCATGAAATGCGCACCCGAGTTTAGGAAAGTAAAATTATTAAAAAGCGTGCCTAAAGTGGCTAGCGTTGTTAACTTTGCGGGGGCCATGGAAATTTGCTAAATGGCACGTCCCGGATTCTATGTATTTTTGAAGGAAATAATTAAAGAGGGCCATGCATTTGTGGTTTTATTTGGCGCGGCGCCCCTCGATTTCATTTTTAAAGGATATTCGACTAAAGCTTGAAGGGCCATGGACTATTGTGTTATCTAAGATGGCCTTCCAAAAATTGTTCTAAAGGTCTTGCTAATTAACTAAGGATTTATTTCGAGCCCAAAATCTAAACCGAGCCCAAATAACAAAAGAAGGGCAGTACAAGGGCATGCCTGGAACACAACTGGGCCGGGAAGAGAGGCTCCATGCCCTAAGATCGAATCT